TTTCCTTTCTTATTTTCATTAATTCATGAACTCACCAACTAAATCCAATTTGCCTCGCACTAAATTCCTTTTATATCTCTCCGTGGGCAGCTCAATGAGACCCACTTCGATCCTGGACACTGGATTCTGCTGTCCCACCATATTATCCTTGCTATCATAGACCGTCGTAATGTCCACTTCCGTGCAGGATGGCAGACAGTCACACACGAGACCCTTACGACCACGTCGCTTTGACCATTTGGCTATGATCACCGATAGATCCTCATAGTTCCGATTCAGACACTCCAAGCCATCCATATTGCAGAGCTGCCAGTCGGGTGAGTTGGGGGACAGGTGGCTGGAGCAGTTGCACAGTTCCATCTGCCGATCCTTGCGACATTGCACGGTGCAGGCACTATAGCTATAGTGACTGTGCACATCCAGGATATTCTCATCGGCAAAGCGGCAGTTCCGCTGATGAACACTCGTCTGGCGGATCTCCTCGTCGTTCTCAATGTCACGCTTAGAGATGTATCTTCTGTATATATAATATATTTTAATTTAAATAATATTTTAAGTATATAAATTAAAAAATTGTGAAAAAGTTGTAAATGAAAACCAACAATTTTTTTAATGTATCAAAATCAATCAAGATTTTTGTTTATTTATAGATTGTTTATCAATAGATTTTTAACCTTCGTATACCACTAAGAAACCGTAATCATATAAATATATATATGTATTCAGGGTAAATCCAAGCTTTGTTAATATCATAACTAAGCCAAAAATCGAATCTAATCTAATTTCAATTCGGAAAGCTTTTTTATGTTTTTTTTTATACGTCTAATAAATCTGCATACTGAGTTTTAAAATTTTAAAATTAAATTTTTCGGTAAATTAAAAAAATGTTTCTCTTGCAAACATAGCTAGTTTAATTCCCCTGTTGATGCTGATCAAGACTATATATGATTTATAGGGTCGCAAATCATTCCTTCACTGAATTTTAAGCTTCTGACTAAAATTATAATACCCTTCAAGGATATGTAAATATTTCTCACTTACAAGATTTACAAGTTTTAATTTGAGTAAAATTTCTAGTGTCCCTTATATATACAAAAATGGTCCTTATAAAAAGAACGTAGTGGTTTTGATTAAAAAATTTAAAAATAAAATATTTAAAGTTGTTAATAATTATAGAAAAATATTTAAATAATGAAGAAATAATATATGTAGTAATTTATTATAGTAAAATATTTCTTACACAAAGGATATGTAGGGTCCAACCACCAGGAAATCCGTTTTGGGTGTGACTAATGTAGGTACTTCTTCAGTACCCAAAATAAAAACCTGTTCATGAGAAAAAAATATTAAATTATGATAAAAAATTAATTATCTAATTGTTATTTAATTACTTAAAGCATTTGACTTTATATTTTATATACAAAAAATGTGGAAAAAGATTTTTTTTATTGAAATCCAAATCTTCTCTATAGTTAAAAGAGCTTTTCAAAAATCCGCAGCACACTTTTAGGTTGTGGACTTTCAAACTGTCTATGATTATATTTATTTAAAATTATTTTTGAGCTCTATTTTTTATATATGTTTTTTTTTTTTTTGTTAATTTCAGTTTTGATAACCTAATTATTTTATTATTTATTATTACCGTAGCCTCCGTATGCAATTCCATTCTCAAAGCTCCCGGTCCACTGTCTCGATTTGAGTACATATTCAACTTGGGGGCTTTGCTGCTTCTAAAAATATTAAAATTATTTTAAAATATTATTAAATTATAAATATTTTAACGTATTATTTGAGATATTTATAAGATAAACCCACCCCGCTTGCAGTGAATTAATGGCATAACATATTCCCAGCTCCGTTTCCATGCGATGAAAGTATTTGCAGCACTCGAAAGGCTGATTATTCCACTCGCAATTGCTGATGGAGTCCACACAGCTGCTCCTGACCAGTTCGGCATAGTAAGAGAAGTTGGAATAGAAGCAGGAGGCGGTGACCTCCTCACCACTGCACTCATGGACCGTGTGATAGGATTCGCCCCTAAAAAAGGCAATCTCGCTAAGGACCTCCTCCAAGGTGAAGTCATGATCGGCGCCCCATAATCTGATAGGGAAAGGGGAGAAAATATATATATTTTTCCATCTAATAGTAACCTTCTGGAACCTACTGTTCCGCCACCTCTTGAATCCGATCCATGTTCTTTGATTCACAAACAATAATCGCTGGAAAATTGGTATTCCAATCCCGATACGAACTCTCCACCACAAAGCTAATGGCATTGTTCTCAAAGGCACCTGAAAAGATGCCTCATCTTATCTTTATCTCAAGAGGAAGATATGAAAGCAAACTCACTCAGTGAGGCCTTTATGAGCAGCCAGGAGGCATACCACGAGACCACCAGACAGATGACCCAGAAGATGCGCTCCAACCAACTGGCATCCTTGTCCACAATGAACCTGGCTCCATGCAAAGTGGAGTTCTCCAGATACTCCTCTATAATGCGTCCGAATCTCATAATGGATTGTGGTCACTCCAATGTCCAAATAGTGACTAATTTCGTATTATTTGTGTAACTGCAATCGAGGACCTTATTAATGATTATTGGATATCTGTTAACCATCTCCGGCAGTTGTTTATTTTCCCAGACTTTTCTAACACGCAACTGTTCCCGGGGAATTAAATCAACATTTATCTAAAGATTTACTTTTGCTAGAATAAAGTTATATTTGCTGCGCACAAATAATGCCTCAAGACACCGTTTATTTACTTGGATATTAAAAGTTAAATCTGCTATAAATTTTGGCAAATAAGTTGCTAACGTGGATGTGCGAGTGATTTGCGTAAAACGTTTAATCTTTGTGTAAGTAAATAATATTACATTAATGTAGTAGCGACGCACGATTAAGATATAGTTATTAGAAGAAGGAATATTGGTTAGCAATGTGGGTTAAAAGGGGGTTTAATGACAGGTTGAATGGGATGAGTTTAAAGAAATATTTAAGATCTATAGCCTGATGAAATAAATACCTAACAAATATTTCATAAAGAAATAATGGAAAAATGATTAAATGATTTATTTAATAAATATATGAAACATTTAATTAACTACAAATTCAATGACATACGCATCACTCTTATCCTACAGTTATTGGCATTTATTATAAAATTTTTACCCCATTTGCTGCGTTCCTTTGACTTTTCAAAATCAGGGCCTTGAACTCCTTTTCGAATTTCATAATTTCGCACATTTATTTTCGCTTTCATCAGCCATTCAACGCCTGATTCGACACACCCCCATAAGCTGACCCTTAATTCCCAGTTACACAGTCTAGGCCCAATGCAAATAATATGAGAGATTTTGGTACTAAGGCGTTTTCAAGTGGCAATCCCCCCGCCACGAGACTATACACACTTCCCTATCTGGCGAGAGATACACTTGTCCCTATCTCGACCAGAATTTACAACAGTCTGGTGGGAGGGTGGATCTATATAAAAAGCCGAACCCACTGCCAGAATTCCAAAACAGAATAGAATAGAACAGAATATTGAGATGGCCACTGCCCTGGAATTGAGCAGCAACGAGATTCGCGGCCTTTGCCAGCGTTATCTTCACCAGGATGTGCCAGAGTCGAATCCAGGATTCGATATCATTAGCTATCAGCTGAAACCCACCTCGGATGCACCGGCTGGTTATCTGGGAAGTCACTTCTACCTGCAGGTCACCCTGAAGCTGCACAACTCGGACGAGGAGCCCCGCCAGCTGACCTTCTTCTCCAAGTCTGCACCCGAGGGCAATGAGGCGCGAATGGAGTATTTAGAGGACTTTGGAGTCTTCCAAAAGGAGATTGCTGTCTACCAGAATGTCCTGCCTGAACTTCACAAAGCCTGTGCCGAGGTGGCCCCGAAGTGTTACTATGCAGACAAGAATCTCCTCGTTTTTGAGAACCTCGCCGATCAAGGATATCGCATGGGTGCAAGTCGTGATGGTTTATTGTCATACGAAGAGCTCCATTGTTGCCTAAAGACCTTGGCTGCCTTGCATGCTGGTTCCATCATCCAGGAGCAGAAATCGGGTAAAAAACTTCCTGAAACCCAGCCGAAATCAGTGGTGGAGAATGCCTATCCCAGTAATGTGGGTCCCAAACATCTGCGTTGGGTAAACTTCCAGAATGCCTGCCTGGTGCTCAAGGAGTTCATTAAACTGATGCCTAAATATCAAGACAAGTTGGATTATATCTTGGAGAATTTCACTCAGAGGATGTCCTTTATTTTCGAGGCTGTCAAGACCTCGGAGAAGTATCTAAACACCCTACTCCATGGCGATTTGTGGGCCAATAATATAATGTTTCAGTATGGAAAATATGGTGAGAGTCCGCTGCAGTGTCGCCTCGTGGATTTCCAGCTGGCAAGGTATGCACCACCTGTCCTGGATGTCCTTACAGTCCTGACTATACCCACATCGAAGCAGTTTCGGGATGCCCATCTCCAGGAACTTCTGGCGGAGTATTATCGCTTTATGACCGAGTTCCTGAAGCGTGCAGGTTTGGATATAGCTCGATTTATGCCGGAAAAGAGTTTTTACGATTCCGTGGAGGAGTTCAGCAGCATTGGTCTCATCGAAAGCTGCCTTTTCTGCCATTTGGTGACCCTACCACCGGAATCCACCAAGAAGCTGACCAGCTCCGCCGATGGCTTCAGTGATTTCTTTAGCAATCGTCGTATCGAGATCTGTGTGGAGGCCTTCAACACGGATGAGTTATACAGAAACCGTTTAACGGACATGGTTCAAGATTTTGTGGATAATTTTGTACTCAAGGGGGAAGAGTAAACCTAAATTAATTGCTAAGTAAACATATTAATATTAATTGAAAGACGTGTACATATATATAACAAAATATAACAACATTTAAGCTTAATTAAATTGCATTTAATGAAGAATAGAAAGTGGCAAGTTTTTCATTTCAAAATAAATTATATTCCCCCAAAAAATATAATTACAAGCCTTGAAAATTCAAAAGCGAATCCCTCAACCCCAAGTTAAGTTTTTACTCAGCATTTATTTAACATGCTTCGTTGAGTTTTCATTTTCGTTTCCATTTTCATTTTCGTTTAGCTTCTCTTTTGCTTGTTTTCTTTTAAGTTTTAAAAACTTTCAAGCTGTGTCCAAAACCTGCAATCCGATACGAAACGATACGATCTCCGGCTTCGGCCAGTCTCCGGCCGCTTGGCTTAAACTCAACTTAAACTTAAATTCAGTTGCCAATTGGCCGCGTTCAATTCAACAACTGCTGGCGGCTTAAAAACTCACAAAAAAACTCAACTGTCACTTAAAGCCTTAATGAGTAAATAAATAAAATCGCCTTAGTTTTTCTAAATCGTTTAATCGGGTTTTTATTAATCAAACAAAATGTGAGTTTAAATTAAATTAAATAAGTGTGTGATCAAGTGTTTGCTTTGATTTTAATGTATATTTCTTAATTTTGTGCAAAGAAGATGTTAGGAAATTGAAGTGGTTGAATGAATGTTAAATAAATAAAATACAAATTCAAGGACTTATATTTTTAACAAACTTTAAGATGTATAAAAATGTTGAATATGTAATATAATTATGCATATTACCAAAGATGTTCACCAAAATCAAATCTTTTTATAAATAAAATGATTCCCCTTTCTACAAATTTTAGGAAAACAAAAATAACACATAAGCTTGTGTTAGAAATCTTAAAATCAATTACAAAGTTATTAAAAGTTAAATAACAATACATATATATCTAAAAGCAAACTTCCTTTTAATTAAAAAATAAAATCTCAAACAAAATGCTAATTAATGTATAAAGTTAATAAAGTATTAGCTAAAACTCTACACAATAAATATAAAATATATATATATATATACATAAATATAAAGTACTCAAATACAATTTAAAAAGAATAACCCTTCATAAATACTTTGCGCTCTAAACTCCGGGATTCCCCGCTTAAAATCCTCCAAAAAATATTTGTAGTCTCCAAAATTACATAATATTTAAAGCCCCATAAAATGCAATGATCCCACAGCATATAATTTTTAAAATTAAAAAATCCGCTGCGGTAGTCACCTCCCATAAAGTGAAGCAAAACTGTGACAAAAAAAAAGAGGGACAATAAAAAATGTGACAAAAAACGGTGACACGTACAATGAAAAAAGCCCATAAACTACTTGACCTATCACAAGAGCAACAATAGCAACAATAGTTTAAAATTGTTGACGACAACAACATCAACATAGCATTCATTGACTGACAAGCATAAAATCGAAAAGCAGAAAGTAAAAAAACTTACGACGCCTGCACTCAACACATAATTTTGTTGAACGGTCACGTTTTTTTAACAAATGCGCAAAAATGACCAAAAAATTAAAAATCAAAAAAAAAAAAGAGGGTAACCCCACTGAAATTCATAAAAACACAGACCCAATAAACTTTATGAAAATAATAACAATAATGCAACCAACAAAAAATTTTGTGTGCCGCATTTTCAATTAACCAAAGTGAAGACCCAAAACAAATGGCTTTTAGCCCATATTTCGATTTGGCCACTTACGCCATTTGGCTAATAAATATGATCCGCATATCGAATATTGACCATGGGTGGCAAAGGGGGCGTGGCATATTGTGGGAGTGCCAATGGGCGGACAGGCGCGTGCCTCGAGCTTAAATAGGTTATCACAGTTATTACCAAATACAAAATATCAGGCTATTTATAATATGGCTTTAATTGAATATTAATTTAACTTTATATAAATTTTTATTCAGTGTGAAATCTGATACGAAATATTAATAATTTTAGATTAATATTGATTGGCTATATCTCAAATTTGATGAAAATCTGTTGAAAACTGGAAAAGTTACAATTTTTTCTTGAAATTCTCCGATTGTTCCTATGTCAGCTATATATGTATATGTATATATATAGTCCACCGATTCGGCATGCTCCGATTTATAAACTTGTAAAATTATATAGAAGATCAACTGCATAGTTTCATTAAGATAGCTTACACCTAAAATTGGTTCAAATCAAATCTCGCATATGCATATGATTCTCAACTAGTTCTAACATCCCCGGAACGAAGTGACTTCTGCCAGCCGAGTTTCAGAAATGTGTTGTGTTATAAAAGTTGCAAGTCATTGTTTATTAATGTTCAAACTTAGTAACTGATCATACATACTTACTGGTCATAGATACTTGCTGATCATACTTACTTACCAATTATAGATACTTAATGTTCAGAGTTACTTACTGCTCATAGCTACTTACTGGTCATAGATACTTGCTGTTTAGAGTTAATTACTGATCATAGTTAATTACTGATCATAGTTCAATAAATCGTCCGATTGTTCCTATGTCAGATATATATATGTATATATATATAGTCCACCGATTCTGCATGCTCCGATTTATAAACTTGTAAAATTATATAGAAGATAAACTGCATAGTTTTATTAATATAGCTTGCTCTTAAATTGTTCCAAAACAAATCTCTCCCATGCATATGATTCTCAACTAGTTCTAGCATCCCCGGAACGAAGTGACTACTGCCAGCCGGGTTTCAGAAATGTGTTGTTACAAAAGTTGCAAGTCATTGTTTATAAATGTTCAAAGTTAGTTACTGATCACACGTTTTTACTGGTTATAGTTACCTACGGATCAAAATTATTGTTTATTGTTTTTATTGTTTATTGATACTTATTTTTAAAAGTTACTTACGGCTTCTACTTTATTACTGCTCATGTTAATTACTGATCATTGTTATTTAATGATCATACTTACCTACTGATCATAGTTACTTACTGAAACATATATAAATATATATCATTATTTGAATATTTTATATTGTTATCCCATGAAAAAACCCACCTATTTAAACCCCTTAAAACTGAATAATAAATCCCATTTAATTACCATCTGTTACAACCTCTATACTGTGCTACTCCTCTTCCTCAAACAATATTTTAAAGAAAACAAATGTAAAACAACATTTTTAATTAAAAACTTCATGGGGAAGTGAAATGTGCACCAAAAAAAGGGGCAACAAAACAACCATCCTCTACCTCCGGCAACCTTGAAATGATTTAAAAAGTTTACACTTTCGAAAAAATTTAACGATCACTTGGCTACCGCTCGCCGCCGGCTAAAACTTGTAATGAACATTAAGTGCGAAGAGGTTTTCGTACCCATCCAGCTCTCATCCCTGATTATATATTATATCCCAAGGTTCCTGCATAACGGTAGCGATTCAACCTAATTTTCCAGACCCAGTTTTTTGATCCCACGCACCCAAAATAATTATATACCTAGAAAAATTGTAACAGATGCGTTCAAACGTTCATGTTTCCTCATTGTCCGGCATGCAAAATGTAAACAAATTTGTGGACTTGTTGTAGAATAACAATAATACACAATACGTCAATCTTTGTCAATTAACCACATGACCCAAATTGGGAATGCTATAGCCACGTACATATATATATATTTGTATATATACCATGGAATGTACGTACGTCTGCCTGTCCTACTGAAAAGAAAAAAAGCGAAAACTGCAGCGACGCTCCGTTGACGCCAATTGGATTCCATTGACCTAATCATGGTGTATAGTCACTGCTGTTCAGTTGCCGAGAGCTGCAAGTAAGTAGCTGAGCGAAAAGCCCGGACTCCGTACTCGAAATGAGCCCCCGAAAACCTGAAAATGCCAACACATTTCTCGTCTGGCAACGGCGGTGGCGATGGCGGCGCATGCGCAAAACGCCAGCCAGAATTGCATAAGACGATGATGATGGCCGGGGTACCAAAGTTGGCCATTGGATGCCCAGCGAACAAGTCACGGGACACCAACTTGGGTGGGGTTTATACCCCACCATCAAGTGGGTGCTGCTGGGTCACTGAACCAAAATATATAATCACACCTACATATAATATATGTACATATATATTTTTGCCACACAAAGAAGGAGATGTCTTCAAATTTAAATGGTTTTATGCGCTCGAAAATGCAGTTCCGCATTATTATATTCTTTAATTTATGAGTTCTTTTATTTGGTAAAGTGATACAATGTCTTCAGAATTAAATAAGTCGAGATTCGGGTCATTTTGCATTATAAAATTGGGAGCAGCAATAAGGAAGAATATTGTATTTAGGGTTCCTGGTCATTTTGGTTTATAATGATCATAAATACTTATACTTAATTTCAGCCAATTTATAAAAATGATATAATCTTAAATTATGTTCTTTATTAATATGTAACTTCGAAATGCAATTAAATTTGATCCTTTGATAGAGGAAATATTTTGATTTGCAGTGATATATCAATACTATATTAAATTTTACAATATAAAAGAAGAATTAGTTTAATATAATTAAAGAATTTTTCAACAATTTCTATATTTAAACGTTAAATTTGATTTGATGTATATTATAATATATAATGATATTTTTACCCTTGCAGAGGGTTTTATATTTTTAGTCAGTGAAGAAGTCATTTCTGACCCTATAAATCATATATATTTTTAATCAGAACGAACAGGCGAATCTTTCTAGCTTTATTAGAAAAACATATTTTTTTAATGTTTTTTAATATTATATAAAATATTGATTTTTAAAATTTTTTAAATTTAGTTATCAGATTTATTAGCCGTTTAAAAACTAACATACAAACGCTTTCCAAATTGAAATTAATGCATTTTTGACTTAGTTATGAGTTTTTTAGTTTCAATGATTTTGTGTAAAACTAACAACTCCAGGTCCTATATGCAGGTTCCATTAAAAACTGTATTATACTTTCAACATGTCCTTCCGCAAACCCGAAAAGCCACCTTTAACAAGTATTTACCAAATAAGTATCCAAGTACACAGTCCACTCCATTGATTTGCATTTCGTTGCATCACATTCACTGCTCAAAAGTTTTTCCCAGCTCCTTTGCCTGTATAAAAATCTCATTATCAAGCCCAGACTATGGCAATCTTGCTGCCTTTAAAAAGTGCCATGAACCATTGGCAAAACCATGAGTTAGCAGGTAACCGAAGGGCGAAAATACAAACACACAGAGTCAGACGGGCGGAGGCACTTGGACAGACTGCCGCAAGTGGCAATATCAAGTCCAAAACTTACATCATCGCAACCAGAGAGGCAAGTGTGGTCGTCACTGCCGGTTATCCAATTAAAAGCAAAGATCAGGGATCTTTTTTTTCCAGGCCAAGACGCATGACGCTGGAAAATATCTCTCCAGCGGCAGCACAAGAGTTTTCCACCAGGCCAGACGCACGCGACATCTAGGAAATGGCAATCACATGACAACCAAGTTTTAGCTATGCAGAAAAATAGAAAAAATTCAACGGTGATGACTGGAAAATAGCTAGGAAAATATGTGATGAATCCTGAAGTGGAATATTGAAATATTATTTAATGGAGAAATATAAACACACTCTAAGAACTAAAGGGGTATCCCCTTTTAAAATTGTGTAATATTTTTACTAATTTCATGTTCCTCAAATATGATAAATCTTTACTATATAATATCTAAAAATTCAGCTCTCTTAACGCGTCAGCTGACTTGGCCAACGGGTTGCTTGGTAGTCCCAAGCCTTCGAGAGTGGAGAGTGAAAAGCGGTCATTTAGGCGTGGACTGGATGCGTGGTTTGAAAAGTGCGGGAATGGGGAATTTGTCTGTGGTGTTTGTGTGCGTGACAGGCGGAAACTTGTAATATTATATGCACGCCACAATTATGTAATGATCTTCATCACCAACACTACATATATGTAGCCTTAAGTCGAGCAAGTGGAATATTCGTATACATCTGTCAGTCATCCAAAACTCAACGAGGCGTTATCTTCTTCATTTCTTCTGTATTTCATGTGATAAAGGTACCTCCTGTGCGGTCGTCTCAGTAACTGGTCAGCTCTTGTATTGGCCCTGTTGTCTTTCTTGGCCGTAATTGAGGCCAGGCCTCAGAGGAACCTGCAACATGTGGCCGTGGTGGAAAATGCTGCCTGGGAACAGACACTGCCTCAGCAATTTCAGAATCCCTTTTACAAGACACCAAGAGTGAGGGATGCTTTGGCCAGATCCAGTTGGTTTGGACCCGGCGAGGAGGTGGTAAGTTGAGAGTATCATTAAGTATTTTTAAGTAACTAAATCGGAATAAGAATAAAAGGTAAGAAAAGTCTAAGTGGGTCAACATGTCGTATACGTAATATTTTAATAGAGCTTGACTTTGAGAAATTTTAAGATTTATGTAAGCTCTAAAGCCACACAAATAAGCAAAAATGATAAAGAATATTGTAATAAAGTGTTTGTTAATCAATTAACTACATTTTAAAATATTTAATTTATTTAAAAAGTTAATTTCTAGCGTAATGAATCTTGAAATAACAAAAACTGCACTTGCTTAAAACTCTTCCTATTTAAAATGAATTATTACCTTTATAAATCTTTTGAAAATCTAATTTATATACTTACTTAAATTATCTAAATAATTATACATTTTAATCATTATTTTTTAGGTTTATGACCGTCAGGCTGAAAAAATTCCACGCATGGAAATCTACAATGTGCTGTCGCATGCCGGCTTAATACCACGCCGGCGTTTCCTCTAAAACTAATATTAAATAATCCATAATCATTTATCTATTGTAAACTTTATAAAAATAAAAATCGAAGTCATTAGTTTAGGAATGAAAAAAGCGTAACTTTAACTTTGTTAATGAAAATAAGTTAGAAGAAACTTTTCAAACAGTCAAAAACTCTTTTAAATAATCCAATTCTATTCAATTATCTTATCCTTTCTAAATTAAAAAACTCTTTTGATTTTGTATTATAAACATTTTTGTCTTATACAAAAATATAAGAATTTATTAGGGTCTTTATTAAAAACAACTAAATAGATTTGTTTACATTTATAACCTTAGCTTGGTGCTTTGTGCTGCCACAGACTTCAATCTATTGTCCAAAGCCTGCTCGTCAGCATCTTCTCCCGTTGGCTTTTCCTCCAGCTTTTCATTCTGTTCCAGCAGCGTTTTCCTGGTCGCCTCACTATCCTCTATGGCTTCAACATCAACATCCACATCCTCTTCATCAGCACTATCCGCATGTGACAGGCCATTGCCATTGATGGCACCACCATTGGTCAAGGCGGCATCTCCTCCTCCTCGTCCAGTTGCCGAGGAATGCCTTGAGGCACTATCTGATGGGATGAGCAGCGACTTGACAAATTCACTGCAAATGAGGCTCATGGCGGGCATCGTGTGGGCGGACAGATTGACAAACTGTAATCCAAAATAAAGAAATAAAACGATTAATTGGCATTGACCTTGGTGAAGTTCAAAAAGTGTGTTAGTAGTGGCAGTGCTGATCGGATTTTTGTGAATGGTGAAATATATGCAAATTAATTAATAAGAAAGTTTTTATTCAAAAAGAAACAAATCAAAAATGTAAGAGTAAAATAAAAACAATATTTAAGCTAACTCTAATTGAAATAACTATCTTTAAACTTTCTTACAGTTCGTATTTTCGTAGCCAAAAACTATATAAACTGTATCTCATTTCATTGAGCTATAAAAAGGCTAAGCTCCCAACAATTTTTAGTTTTGGCGCTTGTACTTATTATTATGATATTTTTTTGGGTGTCGAGATTGCGGTTCAAGTTCAACTTCACGCGCTGGGCAATGTTAATCACATGATTATTATTCGCTTTCGGTTTTTTGTCATTGCTGAGCGTCTTTTAAATGTCTAATGTTTTGTTTTGTTAACCTTCGCGCATGCGCTTGCGATGGCCTGTTTGTTATTGTTGCTCCATTTTAATGCAAAATTCAAGTAGTTCATGAAATTGGCAAAGACAATCGAAGTGCAAACACATCTTTTGAGTGTCAATCAGCTGAACAGGCCAGGCAGAGTATGCAATTTGTATTATTGTTTTTCCAGGAAAACACACTCAGTGGCTCAGTGACTCAAACTGATTCTGGGGGACAATAAATCGCAAACACAAATTGAGTTCATTTTCGAAAGAACCGACTAAAACCAGAATAAACTCTGGAAAACAACGATAATTGGCAAAAGTAATTAAGGCAACCGAGTTACAATATTACACCTAGCAACAGTGCCAGCAAAAATTACAGCGTCGGATAACAAAGCGCTCCCAATTATTGGCCCTCAAGCATAATAATCGAGTAATCGAGTTCGGGGGAGAAAAAATGGTAAAGTAAAGTGTCACCGGCACGCAATGGAAAATGTTTGCCACACGCATAAAACAATAAATTGAAGGGGACAATGGATATTGCGGGAGGAAGGGGAGGGAAATGTGGCAATTCAATTTAAGAAACTGTGGAATAAAAAGAAATCGGGAAAGAAAATTATAAAATTATGCTTAGTGAAAAAAAACTAGGGAAGCCACTAAAGTAACCAATAATTTATGCAAATCACAGAGACCGTAATTATTATTATTATTATTATTATTATTATTATACGTTTTTTTCGTTTAAAAATAGGTTTTTTTGATATAAATGAAAATTAATTAGAACTTTTGAAAATGATAACATGTCGTATACGTAATTTTTCTAAATATGGCTTGACGTATACGTAATTTTTGTAATAAAGTTTCGCTTTACAAATTTTAAGAACTAATTCAGCACAAAAGTTAAAAATAAGCAAAATAATAAAGAATAAAGTGTTTGTTACTATGTAATGATTTTTATATACCCTTTCAGGGTATTATAATTTCAGTCAGAAGCTTAAAACGCAGTGAATAAACCATTACCGAACCCATAAACCATATATATTATTGATCAGCATTAAAAGCCAAATCGATCTATGTCTGTAACAAATTTAATTTTTGAAATTAAAAATAAAAATTTAAGGGGGACATCGTTAAAAAAATTGTCAAAATTTGACAAAAAAAATTAAATGTTATTAATGTATCTGATTAATAATGTTAGGAGAAATTTAGTAAAATTCTACAAAATAATTGCATATTCAATTTAAGAATTCGATTTGAGTTTTTGGAATATTTATTCATTATTTATTCTTCCCATTCCACTGTGCTCCAGTGGGCGGCAGTTCGGCTGCACCGACAAACCCCATTGACCATTCACAATAGACTCTAATGGCAAGTGCACAAACAAGAGAGAGAGCAAGAGAGCAGCGGTCACAATAATAACAAAACGAAGAGTTACGAGAGCGGGTCACGCACGATGACAAAGCCGAAGCCCGAGCCGAAGTCCAAGTCACACGCGAAGCCCAGCCGAAGACCACACAGCTGGAAGCTGTATAAATGGCCGATAGCCCCAACGACAGCTTAGCACTTTACCGTTGTATTTCGCAGAAAAACAACAGTTAGCCGGAAAGAGAGCCACACGGAGAGCGAGAATCGACAAAATAACGGAAGCGCGTGCCGCCAAAGTTTACGGAAATAAAAGCGGACAAAAGTTCATCCTCGCGCTGTCTCTCTCTCCCTTTCTCTCCCCCTGCTCTTTCGCTTTAACTGCAACTGACAAAGTGGCAAAATCAGATTAAACGATTTACGGGCCACTGACAAAACAACAGAAAAATAAGAACAAAAAACAACAAAGTGCAGTGTGCAGAGGCGGAGACAGAGAACTCCTTGCTGAGGAAGGGAATAAAACAGAAGGAAATTTCCGGAAAATGTGGCCCAACTTTGTAGCTGTCATTTCCCTGCTGTGCCTTGCATTCATCGCCTGGGCGAAAGCTGGACCCGTGCCAATTGTAAACGAGGTGAGTCAAAAGGGGTAAAAGGATTGCGGGAATTGCAGGGGATGCAGGCTACCAGGGAAGCAGGCAAGAAGGTGGCAAAAGGAGCACACACACACATGCACACAGCACTCACAGGGGGGACGCATGAATTTGGGGCAATGACTTCACTCGAATTTCACGCCGAAATGGCCGCCTCCGCCGCCACTTGCAGCAAAAGTGCAGGAAGTGCAAAACTCGCTAATTAAAAGTGGGCGGCGTTAGGAATTCGCTCGGAAGAATAAACAGAGTGCACTCTTTAATTAAAAGATTGCTTTCGAATTAAAAATAATGGCTGAGGGAAATTATAAACACAAATTAAACGGAAGTCAAACTTTGAAATACCCTTCGCGAAATATATATACAAAATAAAATTTTCTGGCGTTATCAGTTTTACATTTTACCCAGAGATTTATTTCCTATAAACACTTCTTTGGTTTCCAAACTTTCATATTGTTTTGCTAAATTCATACTTGGGAATTTTAATCGATATCTTTGTTAGGTCCTTTTTATTATAATCAAATTAAAAGTTCACTTCATCTTAAAACTACTAACTATTTCCTTTGTAATCAATGAAATATTATTAATTTAGGGAATCAAAATTTGCAAAACAAATATAAAATTTAACGGTTTAAAAATTAATTGTTTCGGTTTGTTAATAAGAAAATGGATATTTAATCATATTAGAAGATTTCTTAGAAACCCTTAAAACCTTAAAACCTTAGCAAGGGTATAATATTTATTATGAAAAACACTACAACTAAGCTGGCAGACACGCTGGCAGTGGGTGCTGCCTTAATCTGTGTAACTAAATATAGTCAAGAGGCAACAGTTTTTTTTTTATTCCCAAGACACCGTGCCGGTGACAGGCGTTTATATAATACATATTAAAAATCTGGATCCTATCCGCTTATCAACTGCCGTGCAGACTTGACCCTTGATAGAACAAAACAAAGTGATTAATCAATTTTAAAAATAACAACAACTGATTATTAAAAGTGATCTTTGGTAAGGAATACCCCCAAATTGCAGGAGTCAAGTTCAATTATTGCTGATTATTTAAATATTATATAAGGCTATGCTATCAATAATTTGACAATATTAAGGGATCATGACGACATCTCAGCTTCTTTAATATAATAAATTATGAAAAGAACCTGACTAAATAATCTTTTCAAATGGAAATTCCAGTAAATTGGTCTTAAATATAATAAGGTGATTACCCAAGGCACATGTGAGATTAAAGGATCACGTGAGAAGTCAATCATTCTCACCTCAGGTAGACCCATTCCAAAATCCTAAGCGAGTTAGTAAATCGCAGTGCTAGGCTGATAAATCTCACTCGATGTATGCCCAATTTAAGGGGGCTTCCAAAAATAAAACCCACTTGGAGAAAACTGCGTTATAAATCTGAATGGAAATTATTCAAATTGAGTTGAACGCGAGTTGTTGGGCGCAGACAGAAAAAAAAATATACAAAACACAAAAGACAATCACAAGGGACAAAAGATGTGCAATGAACAGGCGTCAGAACCTGGGAAAATCATGTAAAAATATATACACAAATATATTCTAAACTTTGAAATACTTTTGTGGGTCGCATTTGCATAAGAAAGCTGTTCCAGAAATAGCACTTTAATCATATTTTATCACAAAAGTAAAGGCACGTAATGTTTACTTTTCTTCTAATTAAATATATGCCTCACAAATTTGTATCTAAACTAATTAATATCCCTTACTTAAAATCCAAATTCCAGCATCAACAACTAATGCCCAAGGTCCCTCAATGGCACTGTCTACGCTATTTTAAGCATGATGTCCTCATGATGAGACGCTGTCGCCACTTGCGTGTCCCGACAGCGCCTCGACTTGGGGATGTCCTTAAGCGTAAGAAGAAATAGTATCCGGCCTATAGACAATCAACGTCAATACTCAACACGACTGAGCAGCAACAAGATCAATTAAAGTTACCTTTTTAAAGGATTTCTAAGATCAGAGACCAAAGCTAAATCAAATATATATATAATATGTACTACCAATTAATTCTACAATTTCTAAACTTTATACTAAGTCCTAACAAATTGTACTTCATAGATGTGTAAGATTTCAAAATAAAACGACTAAGAACTCTACTAAAGCGAATTAAATTAATTTTTAAAGACAAAATAAATCGCAAAAAACCTTTTAAAGCCTGCTAATATATTCCTTCTTATAGGAATATCTTTATAATTAATTTATTATAAACAAAACTTACCGCATTAACAGCACTATGTTCTCCACGACCAATGATCAGGGGACCATTGCTCTCCAGGGTCTCCGCGGTCACCTTTGGCTTCGTTACATGAATACCGAATGTCGCGTGCCTTAGCAGATTCTCACTGTCGGCGGGCTGATTGGCGAAACTAATGGGAGCAGGTGCATCATCCGATGGACTCTGACCCGGTGGCGCCAAATAAGCAATCTCCTGTGAATGTGTAAGCATCAGCAGCGACGACTGCGCCTGCCAATCCACATTGATGGAGCTCAGCTTGGGCTGTTTCCGGGGCAGCCAGGCCAAGCCATAGGTCTTGGGCAGGTTACTACGCTGATACAGGGGCAGCGGAACATTCGGTTGGAAGACATGCACTAAGGAAAGAGTATTACTAATTACAATAAATAGAATATATATGATTTTCACTTACACTCATCGTTTTTTGTGATTACAGCCATTAGATTGGTGGTCGGATCAAAGGCCAGCTGGCGAACGGATAGCTTCAGACCGGCCTGAAGTCGTAGGGTCAGCAGGTTCCAGATCAGGACCCTGGATTCTGTACAAACGGCCACTAAGTGAGCTTGATCCCCGGCTCCGAATTGCACGTGTGATATCAGTGCCAGTCCCTGCACTGGAGCCGCCATTGCAGGAATTCTTTTAGCCGTTTTAGTCTTGTTACTTTCCCCCGTCTGTGGCTTTTCTTTCTTCTTCGGCTTGCTGCTCTCGTCCAGCTTGAGGATGCTAAACAAAGCAGCCACATCCTGCGGCACAAAATTCTCATAGTTCCGTCGCCTTTTTGCCAAAAGATCGATTCGATACTTGGCTTTGTAGCGATGTCGCATGTGCAGGCGATGCAATCTAGCGTCCAGCTTAAGGATCTTCATCCGCGAAGCCTCTGGCAAGACAGTTTTCTGTTGCAGCAGCTCCATTAAGCGATTTTTGTGCGCCAATGGCACCGCGCAATCAATACCAAAGCGACGCAACAATTGCAATTTCTGGTGCAGATCAAGTTCAGGCATTTTCATGATGTACTTAAACACAGACTCCTTTTTGGCATCTTCCGGTTGGTTAAGGAGCTTGCCCGTGAAAGGTTGCCCCACTATCAAGGCCTTGGCCTCCTCGATCACCGCTTTATCGTCGCTTTTGATGAGACTCTGTAAGAGTCCCCACAATTGCTGCCTCTGTTGGACGATATCTTTTTTAGCTCCATTTAGAGGTGTCTGTGCCAACCTTAGCTGGGCCTTGGCTATTACACCATCCAAGCCGGGCGGACAACTGAGCGTGTGCTGTGGCACTCGTGGATCCTGGAATTGTATAGGGCCAAAATGTTGCCATAGCCAACGGCCAAGATGGAGCCATCCTGCGAGAAGCATAGCGAGCCAATGGAGAGGTTCCTATAGCTTGTCTGCGCCACGCAATTCCACATCTTGCCACGTTTATAGATGTTCTCAGAGTCGGTAATGCCCAGATTTTGATCACATTATCCTCACCAGCGGTGGCACAAAGCAAGTCGTCCACCTGGAATTGATTGGAGAAGCTGATGGCCTTGAAGCCATGTTCGTGCGGCAGATCAATGTCGGTATTTAGGATGTAGCTGGAATGAATTTAAATTGATTAAAGCTTTTAATTAAATTGTATAATATTTTCAGGGTAAGGAGTTTGTGATAAATCTGTCAAATGATTTATGTGGTCACTTTCCTCATTGAGATCTATAATCCTTCTACAATTTCAAACCAAAAATGACCCGCCACGCTCGCAATTGCACCGCCGGAGCTGTGTACACTTACAACGAAAAGAAGCGTGACTCCGCAAGTCTGGCTATGGGACCAAAGCCCAGCGCCTGGGCAAGGACTCCATTAAGTCCTTCGACTGCTGCTCCCTAACGATGCAACCCTGCCGCCGGCCTGTGGTCACCAAGCAGGGCTACCTTTTCGACAAGGAGGCCATACTGCAGTATATAGTGACCAAGAAGAACGAATACAGCCGCCAGCTCAAGGAGTACGAGCGGCTACGTCGCCTAGAGAAGGATCAGGCGAACGACGCAGCTCACACTCAACAGCGAGCGCGCATGGAACGCTTTGTGAATTCACAAAAACCAGTGGAAATAACTTCTGCTTCCCTTTCAACTTCTTCCTCCATTTCCAACATAAGCAACAGTCACAAGAATAAGCAACCCAGCTTTTGGCTCCCTCGGAGTGTCCCAATGCTGGAATGATTAGGGCCAAAAAGCCGGATCCGCTTATATACTGTCCAGTTTCACATCAACCATTAAAGGTCAAGGATCTGATTGACGTGAAGTTTACGCTGCTCAAGGATGGCGGCGACAGCAAGCGCTCTCTAATCACCAAGGATGCGCGCTACATGTGTCCAATAACCCACGATGTTCTGAGCAATGCTGTGCCCTGTGCCGTGCTGCGTCCCACTGGTGATGTGGTGACCATGGAGTGTGTGGAGCGATTGATCAGGAAGGAAATGATTCATCCGCTAACCAATTGCAAGCTGGAGGACAAGGACATTATTCCCCTGCAGCGAGGAGGGACTGGTTATGCCAGCACCAACGACAGCTTGCAGGCCCAGGAAAAGAGACCCACATTGCAGGTATAAGATTATCTATCGGACTTTTTTCTCTAAGATGAAGATTTTCAAGCTCTCACGTATTCCAATTACTTCTTTAGGAAAAATAATGCCAGGTTCTTTTAAATATATGATTAAAAATCGTCTCTCACCTTTGCAGCTTCTCATTGAATTGCCAGAACTTGAGCCTTACTTCGGCAAAGTTCTCCAGATCGTTGTAAACCTCACCGGTGGCCATCCAATTGATGTTAAAGGCCACTCGGTTATTCGCGTATTGTAGATGATTTGATTTGCCTCCTCACTATGTACATTGGTGTCCACCACGCGTAGCTAGGAAATAATTAAACCAATTAATTGCTTAATGTTCTCATAATTCCCTAAACATTACTCACATTATAAAGCATATTCTTGGTGTATGCTGAGTAGAATTGCAAGTGTCCTGATCTGCCATTTAGCACCAGCGTATTGGTCCTGGATTCAAACACAAGCCCAAGGGGAACTTGCTCATGCCAGTCTTGTCCTTGACCTCATATGTAAAATGCTGGACGGTTGACTTGATCGCATTATTGCTGCCACTCAGCAGTTGTATGGCATTATCCTCGGTGCACACAAGCACATTCTCATTGTCATTGCTCACTACTATATGCCTGATCACACTGGCCAGTCCGGGCAAATACTTGCGTTCCTCGGGCATTACCACCGACCACTTGACCAGTACCCGTTCATGGCCACCGCTGTAGATGCTAACGCCCGAGGGCGAGAAGGCCAAGCTGGTCACCTCGTCATGATGCCAATGGAACAGGGTGTTGGTCATAGTCTCACGGCTCTCGAAATCCCGCCAGACAAAGATTTGACCCTCGGCGTCGGCAGTAGCAGCCACCATTTCGCAGGGACTCATCCGAACACAGTGATCAAGTGCTGTTTGGGGCTCTTGAAACGGCAGAACTTCCAGGTCACATAGTTCAAGAAGTAGATGTAGAAGCCTTGGGCTATGATTATATACTTGTAATGACCCTTTCCCACGTCCACGAGGGGTGTGCGAACTCTGTGAAGATGGAATATTAAGTTGTAGTTGTACGTTTTAAGGCAAATATACAAAAAGGAGCTTGATTTCCGAGACTCACTTCAGCTTTAGGCCGCAATTCAAATTAATCTTTTCGCCCGTACTCGTATTGACCACAACCAGTTCACCTGTTCGCCACTCTTTCTCTTCGTCGTGACAAAGGCACAGGCTGTGTCACCACCTTTGTACAGATTTATCAGGTGGCAGTGAGGACATTGGCTTCCGGCACACCCAGCTCAGAGATACAGTCTTCTAAGCACACCCGCTCGCCAGTTCCATCGCAAGACCTCGCCAGTACTCGTGCAGCCCAGCAGTAGATCCGTCTGCTTCAGGTCCACCTCCAAACTGATCAAGGGAGCCTTGGCATCATCGAGAACCCTTGTGAGTTCACCAGTACTGGTGGCATACACCTGCACCTTTGTCAGGCATCGCACGAACATGAATCTGGAGGGCAGAAATGTAGTTTTAGACAGAAAATTAACATCACTTCCAGGCTGAGCCACTAACCTTCCATCAGGCGAAAACAGAGGCGCATGTTCCACGATGTTGCCGCCTGCCAGATACTGCAGCTCCAATCGGTCCTCGTCGTCAAAATTCATGGCTCTCCGTGGGTTAGTCCTGCTCTTTGGGATCCTCAGTGCTGCGGCACTGTTAACGGAGGGGAATTTCGTTCAATTAAAGCGATTTAAGCCGCTTTTCGTGGACTTCTTCAACAATTGCACGTGTAGAGCAGTGTGACCGGTCAGTGAGCGCCAAGAATATACCAAATGTGATATACTAAAATATATACTGCTGAGTCGCTGAATA